CACTCCTTGTCCAGACCTTCCTTCTAACGCTGCTCTCGGACCGAGCCCGAGCCCAAGCTGGGACGACAAAGTGAGACCTTTTCATCCCGTGATCGCTTTTGGTGTTCCTCATCTGTTCAGGAGAGGGGGAGGCAGAGCCCGCAGCTCAGCCCCCGTCCCTCTGCCCGCGGGGCACGGGGAAGCTCTCAAGGTTAAACAACCGGAGAGATTGCCCTTACAATTTATATTCAAACGCTGCAGTTTATTCAGAAAGTTACAGGTTGAAGGCTGATTTTCCTCATTGTCTGCATCAATATGTACCTTATAAAGCTTTTGGTACAGCAGTGTCTGATTTCCTCAATACTAACAGATCTGTGTGTACCATTCTCCCAAAGGCCTTTAACGTCTTTAGGCATTTTCAAACAGGTAAATGAAGAGTAATTATTTGTTTACACAAAACCTACAGACGATATTAAAAAACCCCAACAAGATACAAGAATCTTGCCCAACAAATAGTCTAATGGGTACCACCCATCTCTCTGGGCAATATAAATATACTCAAGAGATTTTTGTCTCGGGAATTCTATCATATTTCCCTTTCTTTCATCCCAGCGTGTGCCACTGTAGGTGATACGACGGCCATTTGTGCCTTTGTACAGTTTGGGCAATAGGAATAAAGAAGAAATCACTGGAAATTACCTATTATACAGTTTGTTAATCCCACTATTAGCTTAATTTTGTTCCGTAAAGCCTCCTCTCTCCTCTGACTCATTTCCCATTATGCAAATCCGGAACAGAAACAGTACGCTTTTTATCTCAAGTTGTGGAGCTGCTGCTGTGCCGGTCCCCCGAAACACAGCAGAGGGAGACGCTTCCTGCCGCGCGCCGCCTTTCGCGGGAATCACAGCGGTACCTTTGAAGGAAAAACCCTCAAACCTTTCCAATTAAAACTTTCACAGAGAATTCCCTGCTGTGCTGAGGTTCCCCACCAGTGTGGCCGCACACACTGAACACATCCCCATGGTTTTTCTCAGAGGGGCTGACGTTTTCGTTAGCCAGCCCCTGCAAGCAGCCTGGGCAGGAAGCCCACAGGCCCGTGACAGATTTGCAAACCCACCCGCACCAATCCAGCCTCAGTTTTCCATATCTGTAAAGATGGAGAATTAATACCCAGCGTCACTCAGTATTTTGGGAGGAAGAGGTTAGAAGGTGTAGCAGCATGAACTTTTCCCCACACATCTACAGACAGACTGTCAAAGCAGAGGAGGACACCAGAGCTCCAGAAAGTCCCGTTTCACTCCACCTGGTACCAAATGTACCTTCAGGCTCTGACAGCCACGGAGTCCCTGCCTCCACCGAAGGAGGTGAGCGGAGCCAACATCAACTCTGCTGCTGCGGAGAAGGGATGGGAAACAAGCTCCTCAGCCCAGTACTCCAGTTAAAATAGTAGAAAACTGGAAATACATTCAGGATAACAGAGAAACCCCCCTAATTACTGCAAAGTAATCCCGCACTTTGAAACTTGGCACCTGTTAGTGCAAAAATACTGTAATGAAATCCCAGCCAGCAACAATGAGTATATAAAAAGCAGACATCCAGGTTGAATCTATCCTTAAAAATGTATATTTTCACACATTGTAAAAAAAACAACAACTCAAAGCAGGAGCAGCCTGGTCACTGTGCCCGGCGTGGGAGCAGGGCTCTGCCGCTGGCCGAGGCGCGCAATGCCATCTACAGTTTTACGACGGGAATTCATGCACGGGCAATCAACACGAACAAACTGCCTCCTGCCCTCAGAGATCCTGATGCCGCCAGTCATTTGATTGTTCTCCAGCCACTCCTGACACATTTACAATGCAAGCCTGTGGTACCCGACAGAGAGCCGAGCCGGAGCGGGTCAGCGAAGGAATGCAGAAGGACCGGCTGGTGTCCTGGCTGGCCGCTGCCGGGAGGGAAGAGCTCACCAAAGCTCCTGCTGCGTCTGGCAGGGATGTGCACCAACCACATGGGACCTTCTCAAGGCTTCTCCTCCTCCGTGAGACTCACCCCTGCCTACAGGCAAGCTTTTCATACCCACACACTCTGCTTTTGAACGAGAACCGGCACAATGGAGAGAGGGAGAGGGAGAACTTCCATATCAAGATGTCTGTACCAAGTGTCAACCTGCATGTCTCACTGCTCTTCAAAAGCGAGGGTGGGCTGGCTTGAATACGTACTTTGACAAAGCAGGTTTATTTTAAAGACCAGAGAACCTGTGCGCCGAGTTAGGCACTAATGAACAGAGCCAGTGGCTTCATTACCGACCACGGCTGGCAAAGGACAACCAACCAACATGAGACAACGCCACACAGGGGCATGCTGAGGAAGAGGTGGAATCACACACGGACCTCTGGGCCAAGCACTCCTGTTCACCAGCATGGTCCGGGCAGAGCCCGTTTACAAGCCCCAGCTGCGGGAATCCCAGCCCAGCCTGTGCTCAGCGGTGGAAATGGACTCTTTCTACAGCGTCGGTGAGATAACGGGATAGACCTTCAGCTGCCTCCGTGTCTCGTCACACCAGCTGACGGTTCCCGTGCCGGTTACTTGCTGTGGTGCCTCCATGTTAAACTTCTTATCCTGAGTCCGAGGCGAACCCAAGACCCAGATTTGGATTTCCGAGTGCCATACAAGACCAGAAGCGAAAGAAGAAAAAACACAGGCTGAGCAAGGAGTTGCCTAAAAACTCTCTTTGGAAACAGCGATTTCCTAAGCACGGGAACGCGCCTGCAAGCACAGCCGGGCAATGCCATGCGGGCTGGTTTTCCCCGCGGCGGAGCCCGGCACGGCAGGTTCCCCGGCGCGAGCCGTGGTGCGAAGGGTGCGGGTGCCCGGGACAGCCCGGCCGGCACAGCCCGCTCCCGCGCCGTCACGCTCCACAACCACCATTAGAGAGCTGATCGTTACTGGGGCCCCAACGAAGCTCTCCTGCAATACGAACTCTGTGAAGAAGGGCTGTCAGCAAAGACCAGCAAGCAGATAGCATTGGCACTTAGGATTTTCAACTAACATGAATTCCCCCAAATGTTTAGAGCAAAGGGCACAGGCTAAAAATTAAGTAATTTTCTCTGGTGCTGAAATACAAAACCAGAGGTTTTGCAACTACCAGTTCAAGCACTAGGATGACAGGGATGCCTCCACCACTCCTCTATAAATAGCAGTTTTCTGCCAAGATTCCAGCATCCCAGCTTGAAGGGGGGAAGCATGGTACTTTATTTCTACATTTCTAGAGCATGACCGCTATTAGCATCCCCCTTCTGCCGTCTCCAGAAAGAAAAATACTTAAATAATCCTTACTCCTGTCCCACGCAGCAGGTGAGGTGAGGTCCCGGGGTAGCGACCCCCCAGCTGCTGGGCTGCTGCCGGGGCTGGAGGGGACAGACCCCCCTCTGGCAGCATCCTGCATCCCCCTGTCCACTCCAGGAGATGCCGGTCCCCAGGGCGACCACAGCAGCCCCTCGCGCTCTGCCCTCCCGTACCTTGTGTGATACAGCCAGTGCTCCCAGCAACAGCCTTTCCAATTCTGTTAGGTACTATACGATAGCATCTGAAGTGCAAGTTATAACGGTAAATTATGTATTAATTTGCATCTTTCTTACCTGCAACATCTCTCACTGGTATAAGTATATAAAAAGGTATCATCTGACAAAGTAGTATATTTTACAGATTTTTCAAAAAAGCCTGCGTTGAACACAAATCTTGGAAAGAAGAGTCAGAAAATTAAACCTTAAAATAGTATAAAGATTTATTTTAAAAAAAGCACTGAGTCAACTTCATTACACAATTCTGAGTCTGGCAGACGCAGGGACGGCACCAGCTCTGTAACACGCACAGCTCCTGGAAGTGCAGATCTTTTTCCTCCCTGTAACTGGGACCGGGAATCTCACACCTCCTCCTCCCCGCTGGGCAGGAATCAATGACACCCATCTAACGCCGAACAAAAGCTGCCAAAATGAGCTGCAGAACCCCAAAGTTCAAGACGGCTGAAACGGCACCAGCGGAGGACCTCCCCCAGCAACGCCCCGGTGTCCCTCACACCTCTCACCCCCAGCAGCAGACCCCGCGTCCCGCACGACCCGCACCAGCAGCGAGGACACGTCTGCCTTCCCGACCGCAACCGAGACCCTGCAAACCCCTCGCTCCTCACGCACGGGCACGCCGGCAGGAGCTGCAGCAACCGCTCATCAGTCCACATCACAAAGACGCGGCACTCGGTGACACTGACTGGCCGTGGACAACAAGGAGAGCAACTCCTCCAGTGACACCGACCGGCCGAGGACAACAAGGAGAGCGGCTCCTCACTGCCCCATCACGGCCAAACCCCACCGCCAACCCAGACACTTGTCTGTCTGAAAACATGGAGTGCATTTCCCATTTACAATTCACAGTCAGCACCAACAACTAACTGCTGCCTTTCCAAACCTCTCTAGTCTGAATTCTTACCCGAGCCATCTTATAAATCGTGTGCAGAGACTGTGAAACCTCAGCCAGCGCGAGGTCTTCATCGTCGCCTTGTGGTGCACCAGCTAACAGCTCTCCGCTCCTCACCATCGCCAATTCACAGCTGCTACACGCTGCTGATCCATGCCCCGCGGAAAGTCCCCGGTACATCAGATATCTTCCGAACATCTAGACTAATGCCAATTCAAATCACAAACTCCCTTAAGATATTCCAGCCCATAAAACCTGTGAAGTTACAAGTCTGTTTCATTCAGACACTTCCTTTCATCTTCACGGTTAACGCCTTGTGGGCTATCACAGGCAGCATTTGGAATATCTTTTGGAGACGCAAGAAATCCACTTTTCCCCAAATAGAGTCGCAGTTTAGATTTTCCTGTCTTGTTTCAACAAGTTAGGAAAAAAAACCCAGCTACTGTTTGACAGCCAGCCTTTAAAATCCCCACTAGCCGGCTCTCACCGTCGCGTCCCCCGCACAGCACCCCCACGCTCCCCGGCTGGCACACAAGCGCTCGGACGGCACTTACCGACGGGCAGGCGGAGGGTGATGTTGTTGCAGAAGTCGGTGTAGCAGCACTCGGTCTTTGTGATGTTCTTGGAACTGTGGCAGAAGACCTGCGCGTTGAGCTCCGGCAGGGAGACGCAGGACTTGATGACCTCCTCCCGCCCGTTGGTCAGCATGACGGAGGCCCAGCAGGCGCCCTCCGTCTGGCAGGTGAAGTTGGTGTGCTCGCACAGCTGGCACACGCACTTCAGACCTGAAAAAGAGTTTTCCAGCTCTCGTGAGAAGACCCCGGGAAGACAGACACACACACACACCCCCCATGACAACCGTGCCAGCCTGTCTTGCCGGTTGGCCAAGGCTAGCCGGTTGGCCACGAGCACCCGGCGGAGCTCCAGCACGGGTCCCGTGCCAGTGAATGCGCTCCGGGGCTGCAGGAGGAAACCGGTGGCAGAAGAATCCTGACAGCACAGGTCCCCAACACCCTCAGGTGGCAAATTTTCAAACCAGGCATTCCTCAGCCAGAGGGACGGATATAGCATCTATCTGGCATGGGGGAGAAGGGTGACCACCCCAGTAAGTTGTTTCTGGCAGAGCCACCTTTTGCCTACACGGGGAGACGGAGGTTCAGGGCTTCAGGTTCCTGTTCTCGGCTCCCACGGACTCAGGACAACACCTCAGACGGCGCTCAGGACACACACGGGCACACGCGCAATTCCAGATGTGTATTCAGACACCAATATGTTCATTAGGTACTGAATTTTAAATAACACCAACAGCCGCTGTTCGGGTGGCTGTGCTGACCTCCCGACCCACGGCCAGCCCTCCCCTGAGCCCCCCACCTCATCTAAACACATCTAATAAATACCCTGTTTTTCAGGCTTTATTGAGTCCTCCTCGGAAGAAGAGGAGGAAACCAAAGCCACATCATCTCAGTGAAACACCAAATGCCAACGATTTTTTTTTGCCCTCCTTGCTTTCTTCACCTGCTTCATAACAAACATTTTTTGCTTGCTTTGTGCCAAGTTCAGGAGTCCATATCGGCAGTGATACAATAACCAAGACATCTTAACCTTGGGCTGACAGCAATTTCTACAGGAAACCCTTCCTTAAGCACACTTTATACGATTATTTTGTTCCTGTAAAAAAACCCAACACCTCAGAGTACCGAGACTTGATCTCTTCAACTTTTGACTTAAACAGTTCTTATCCCCCCACAGGGTGCCCAAAATGCATTCTGTGCACTTTCTGGGGTCAGTTATAACGCTGCAAGATTGAACAAGGCTCTACTTATAGAAGCCAAGGTATTTAAAAAAAAAAAAAAAAGTAATTTTATATCGATAAATCCGTTCTGTTTCTTTGTGAATTGGGGAGGGGGAGGCTGTTTCTTTTACTTAAAGATAACAGATATCTAAAAAGTAAAATCAAGAGATGACTAGGACAGCCACCAGGAACAGCAGAGCTTTCTTCCGCCCGCTAGCAGCCCCCGACGAGCCAGCGCGCCCCAAGAGCTGCCACGTTTCTCTCTCCAATGCCTTGCCCTGATCAACCCGGGACCAAAACCGGCCCCTGCCACCACCCCCAGCGCAGGGTTTGTCTACCCAGGAGCGCCCAGGCCCCCGGTGGGATGTGTCGCCTCCCACACCCACGGCCGAGGAGGACGGTGCGGTGACGATGGCTGCGGCAGCGCTCGCCCTAGGGCAGCACCGGTGGGGACGGTCACCCCAGCGTCCCCGGCGGAGCCCTGACATCCTGTGCTGCCCCTCTGAAATAACAGCTTGTGGTGTCCACCCTCCGCTCAGGGCCATGGCAGAGCTCCCTGGCGCCACGCATCCACAGAATCACAGAATGGTCAGGGTTGGAAGGGACCTCTGGAGATCATCTAGTCCAACCCCCTGCCAGAGCAGGGGCAGCTACAACAGGTTGCACAGGATGGCATCCAGGCGGGTTTGGAATGTCTCCAGAGTGGGAGACTCCACCACCTCTCTGGGCAGCCTGCGCCACTGCTCCACTCTACTGCTGTATTCGGAGAGGGGTTTACTCTCCTGGATGTCCTTTTTTTCTCTCTACATCACTGATAGAAAGATTCTACTATTAAAATAAAAATAGCTAATAGTAGAAAGATTCTATCCCCGTTTTTCCTTTTAGCTCTGAGTGTTCTGCTCGAAAACGACTTGTCCAATCTCCTGCCCACAACCCAAAGGTCACAGACCTATGGAAATCAGCCCTGAGCCCCACAGAGTTGTTTCTGCGAGAAGCCATTACACAAAGAAGAACAAAAAGAAATAAAGTTTTGGTCAAAACCCTCAGCACAACCCAACCACATTATTATCGCTCCCGAAAGCGAACGCATTCAGCCACCGGATGGCAAGCGGGAGGAGCAGGGACAGGAGCATGTTGACCTCAGTACTCCCAGAGAATTTTCGTGCCACCTGGAGACTAGAAAGTCCTGGAGACCAAGCCGGCTCGAGAAGCATTCCCTCTTCTCCCTCGGAAAAGCTGAGCTCACAGAAGTCACGCGAGACAGGCACACGAACTTCTGATGGGAACACTGCGTTCAGTTTGGAAGAGGCAGAAGAGCACACGAAGAAAAACTTGTCCACACCCAAAAGCATCACATCTTAAAAACACTTTAATGTACTTTTGTCCTATCACACTGGAACTGTTGCCTTTTTTAACCATTCCATTTTAAAAAGCTGAGCACCACTGCCCCCGGGGTACAAAGCCCTCAGCCTGTGCTCCTCAACCCAGCTCCTTCCAGCAGTCCTGTCCCATTCCTGACTCTCCCCCGTCCCCCCATCGCTGGCAGCCCCAGACCCCACCTGGTCCCAGGAGCTCTCCCCAGGATTCCCCCCAGCTCCCTCCCCTCCACCGCATCCTCCGAACGCCTCTGCTCTGCCGTGGTCGGTGCCGGGGCAGGGGAAGCACCACGCCGGCAGCACCGGGAGAGACTCCTCTGCTCTCCGTCACTGCCCGCAGCCTGCGCCAGCATCCCCCATTGGCCGCTCCAGCCAAGGCTCCCTACACCCAGACTCTCTGGGCTGGAACAAATTTGGGCTGTCAGGTGATGCGTGGCAGAAGTGAGACAGACAGCGCCGTGAGAGCCGGCAGTAACACACCGTGCGGCAATAAGGAGACTCCACACGTCTTTGCTGCTAACGAGGTTCAAAGGGGTCTGACCGAGAGGCGAAATCCGCACGCCCTCCCCTCTTCAGCCTCACATTTCAGATTTTCCTCGTGTCGTGTCTGCTGCCATCGCTCACCCCTGGTTAAACGCTGCCAAATTTCAAGCCCTTACACAGGAGGAAAAAAAAAAAAAAAATCAAACAGAAAAACAGCGCAGCTAAATCTATTTAAAGAGAAGATCAGAGTTTGAGCTGTGGGCAAGACGAGACTCTCTCTCCCCAGAAGATTTACATAGACCATTTTTAAACACAATTCTACAAAAATAGAAGCCCAAGGTTCCCCAGCCTGTGCTACTGGCTAATTTCTCATGTAGAAAAAAGGATAGAAAACTCAAAACAAATACAAATACTTGACCTTGTTTCCAAGAGCTTTTATGTACATCAAGAATCCTTTGCTAAAAGAGCAGAAAGATGATCTTAAAATCTAACCATTAAAGTACAACTTCCCTGCAGCCGTGCTGGTCCAGCTGCCTCGCCTCAGCAGAACGGGGAGAAGAGGAGCGCAGGTCCTCCTGGACATGCCCTCGGGAAGATCCACGCTTCTCCTGCTCTCAGTCCCTCCGAACAGGGGACACCACAAACCCCACCAGCGCTCCCACCCAGGGTCGCATCCCCTATGGCTCCTCCGCTGAGCCGGCACCACCATCCCCGCTGACACCCTCGGGGACACGGGACTGGCCAGAACTTGCGGTCTGTCTGTGCTGACCCACCAGGCGTGTCTCGGTGCCACTCCAGCTCATTCACGACAACCTCCTCCAGTACCCTTTTTATGGAAAAAAACTGTCCATATTTGGTTCTATAGTCAGGCAACCTACAGCCCCTGCCAATGCATCTCAAGCTCTGACATTAAGCATCTGCAGAGTTTCTGCTCTACACTGACTCCACCGTCGTCCCGGAGCAGCTGGCGAGGCGCTCCCCTCCGTCTGCAGACCAGGGGATAACAGTACGACGGCGAAAGACCTCGCACCGCTCCAGCCAACACCACCTTCGCACCAAGTTTCCCCTCCCACGTACCTGTTCTATGGCACAAAGGAAGAGGAAGAATCTGCAACTACTGACTGAAATTCTGCAAGCTGCTGCGTGCAGTGAGAAACGGTTATTCCCTCCCCGGGGAAGGCGCACTGCGCTTCTCCAGCTCCCTCCCCAGGGATGGTCCTGGCCATGTTACCGGTGGTGCTGTCACTGGGGAAAGTTGGGACTTCCACCACCGCAGAAACTTGAGAAGTAGAATAAGGTGAATGTGAAGGAGTTAAAAGGGAAAAGGATCAAAGAGGCGGGAGGAAAACGTGCTCCCAAAATTTCAAAACAAGGCACTCTTTAATCCAGTAACGAACATGATTCCATTATTTACTCAAGCACAAAACATTTCCCTTAAAACATTGCATTCTCTGGTTGAGAAATTAGGAGAAAGTGAACAACTGAAATATGCCATGGCCTCAGAGAGCTATGGTAGGCATCCAAACTTGGTTACCAACGGCTACAGCTCTCCCAGCATCTAATTCTCCAGCAGTCATTAACAAATTTGTCCCGAATCTCCCCAAAGCGCTGCACCCCCAAGGACCACCAGGGGGTTGTCCCGCCGTGACTGGCCACAGCGCCCGCGGCAGGGCCGGGGCAGGAGAGGACACGCGGCGCGTTCGCTCAGCGGGGACGGCGGTGCCCAGAGGATGCACGGCAGAGGCGCGCGGTCCCTCTTCTCTTCCGAGGGCAGCGCGGCACTCGGCAGGACCCAACTCAACAGGAGGAACCAACAGCCAACCGAGGTGACGGTGAAATCAATTCACAAATCGCTGTTAGATACACAGGCAAAGCAAATTTTAGGGATAGAGGCCACAAGGAACAGCTGCTCCCTGGGTTTAAGACATAAGGAGTTTTCAGGATTTTTTTTTTTTTTTTTTGCTGTTATTGCAATAGGAGTTGAGACTATATACCGGTTTCTGGGATGAGACCCACCATGAATCAATGACAGGATGACTTACTCTTCGGAGCAGAGAATAACCTGCATGACTTACAGAAAAAAGCTACTTTTGTTTTTTCTTCTTAGTTTTCAATGCAACCATAAGAAA